TGGTCAGCTGTTCATTGCGCTCCCATCACAAGGTCTTTTGCTCTCTCTCTCTTGCACAAGTCATCGACTGATACTTCTGATCAGTCTTCCTTCCCGTCCTGTGGCAAAATGGGGTGCAAGTCATCTGACAAGCCAAAGCCAAAGCCAAAGCACAGGAAAGGCTTGTGGTCACCTGAAGAGGATCAGAGGCTCAGAAACTATGTCCTTAAACATGGCCATGGATGTTGGAGCTCTGTCCCCATTAATGCTGGTATGTATTTACTGCAAACTCATAATTATTCACCAATCAGTGCATTGCAACCCATCATGCCATCTTGCTAATGCACTTGAATTTGAATAAGCAATACAAAAAAACCATTGTATGTTTATTATAGGCACATATTAACATAGTTCTATTAGTTTTCAGGACTTTACTGTATCGGATAGCATTGTTTAGCAAGGATGAATCTGTTCTTATATTCCCAGAACATTGAATTTTTCTTGAGCATGAGTGATTCAACTCATGGAAGCATTTATTATTGCCATGAACGTTTCTATGGTTGGAAAAAAGGTTTCATGTTGATGGGATTGGTTTGATTTATTAATGTTGAGTGTGTGTTATATAGTTTTGATTAATCAATATTTTAAGATGATTGTTTACAATATCTTTTTAAATACTCTAGTACAAATAATTTGTCAATAAAATAATGGCCAAGTATCATGTAAAAAGCCATCAAAATTACTGGAAAGTCTTCATGACTCTTGGGTTAAGCCAAGCTTAAGACTTACCAACCTCTCATCATCCATTGGCTAATGCAGTTGGCTCATTCCTTGGTTAACCTAGTTAGAAATTTAGATGGCAGCTTGCATCATCTAGACAGCATTTGTAGTAGAATCTCTAAATTTCAAGAGAAAAGGATTGATGGTGGCTTCCTCTTAAAATAACTAGAAAGCCCTTACGAGTTGACTTTTTAAGGTCTTCATGATCATGAAAGCCTAAATATTGTGCTAATGCAGGCTTGCAGAGGAATGGGAAGAGCTGCAGACTAAGATGGATTAATTACTTGAGACCAGGATTAAAAAGAGGGATGTTTTCTGCACAAGAAGAGGAGACAATCCTGGCCCTCCATCAGATGTTAGGCAACAAGTAAGCAGACTTAATCCCAAATAATTATAATTACTGTACTAAAAAGTATCACTCTTAAAGAATTAAGGACCGCCCTTAACACCTTTCTGCTATTAGGTGGGTGACCCCTTCAAAGAAAATTAATTAGTATGAGTTAGGACTTGGATGCTCATGATCATTTAGGTCAAATAATATAAATTTAAAAGAAAATTATGATGATATAGATTATTACTCGGTGCTAGCCTAGCATGCATCTTCTGAACTGTCTAGCAAGGCAACTGCCTCCACCAAATCAAGCCACATTATGCTATGAGGGCACCCAGAGGACTTTTTTATAAACAGATAACAGACCATTGCAGGTCAACTTGACTTTTGTAACCTAAACAATGATACAAGGAAATAAGAGAATATGATTCGATTTAAAATCCCTGAATTCTTTGCGCCGAATTCACAGAAACATTATAGGATTAGTGTTTCTGCATTTAGCATTAATTAATTGCTGTATTATTCCTGATCAAAGCAGAAATTTTATGTCTTTTGTGTCAATAAAGCGGAACTAATGGAGACAATCTGTTCTGAACTGACTAGGTGGTCTCAGATAGCACAGCATTTGCCTGGAAGAACAGATAATGAGATAAAGAATCATTGGCATTCCTATTTGAAGAAAAAGTTGCTTAAAGACGAAGGGATGGAGTCTTTGAAAAGAACTCAATCTGACAGCTCAAACTCAGACATTATGGAACTTTCACCATCTCCCAAGAGACACAAAATGCAAGCTTCAAGTTTTGAGTCATCAATGAGTGCAGAAAAACCATCAGCTGATATCAACCGGTCAGTTCCGCAGATGTTTGAGTCTCCCAACCAACCTAAAGGAAGCTCCTTATTACCGAAGGTTATGTTTGCAGAGTGGCTTTCACTTGACAGCTTCGCAAGTTTAGGTGAGCCTATGGATTCAAAGAGTACATTTGATCATAATACAATCTTCCAAGACAATTTCTTGCATGATTACTTACTGGATGAAAGAGTATTTGGTGGTGAGTATCATAATTCACTAAGCGATGGTTCGAGCGGCGACATTTTTAGTTCAGAATTCAAGTTTGAGAGCCAGAGTCCAGGGAATGAGTTTGGTTTTACCTCTGGAGAGGATTTATGTAGTGGCTTCAACTTGAGCAACATTAGTGATGTGATGTACATATGAGCGCTTGGTTTCCAAAAGCAACTACGAGGAAGAATAATTTCCGATCATACAACAACAGGAAAAGAAAAAAAAAATATTTGACTCTCGAATAAAAGGGCCTGCAGAAAAAAAAAAAAGTCGTAGCTAACGAGGCACCTTTCAGTTCTTTTCACAAAACCAGGTGTACAGATGATGAAATAGGCTTTAGTAATCAGTTGAGTTTGTGGTTATTCTTCCGTGTAGTTGCTTTCGGAGACATATGAGAATAAAGAATCTGTCAATTTCTTGTCTCTTTGTGATGATTAATGCTTATAATTTCCATGTTTTCAACACCAAACTTTCTGTTTGATCATTGCTTGCTCCTTTCCACAAGGATCATTCTCTTTGATTATGAAAATATTTAGAAGGTTTTTAACTCATTTCATCTCCAAAGTACTGGAAGTGAGAACCTCTTTTTTAAGCATTTGATAAAGGAGAATCACAACAGTTTAGTGCTGCTTCATCTGATAGATTAAGAAAAAATCATTGCATGTTATTCAAAGGTTTTAGATCCATTAACTTTTTGATAACTTCAGAGCGAAAACTCAGTACCGACACTTTGAGTAGGCATAAGGTTGTGCAAGGAGGCATAAAAAACTCCTGCCAATCCTGGGATTTATCAATGTGCATTTGAAATTAAGACATTTATATTATTCCTAAGCAGGTACTGAATTACATTGATTAGTGTTCAAGTTCACAAAGGAGATGATGTTTTCTAACATTACTTAATGAAGGGCAAGGGCTTACACGATTTCTTATGCATAAAAAAAATCTTCAGAGACATTGATGGAACATTATATAATTAATTTGGCTGCAAGATATTCAGCACGGCAATGCATGCTTCACTGTCGTCTAAGGTTTCTGATTATGATGTTTTTTTTTTTTCACTCTTCAAATAATATTTTGAACTCTTTCATGAATTCTAAACGATGAAATCATCTGTGAGAATTAGGGTGGCCCATAACAGGATAGTAGCAACTGCAGCAATGATTGTAATTGGTGTCCTTTTCAGTGCAATCACCAGTTGGGGCAAAAACATTAAAATTCAGATGATAGGAGAAAGGTAATTAACCTTGTGTTTTGTATAGGGCTAAAGAAAATGAAAGAGCAGGACATAATCCATTTTTCTCATCAGTTAATTCTACATTTGTAAATGAAAACATGGGGTGGTGGAAAAGGATGAATCTGATTAGATTTTCAACTTAAGTGGGAAAAATGTACAGGAAAGAGAATATCCATTGCCTTCTTTTCCCCCCCATGGACACCTCCTTCTTAGAAGAGGGTGGCATATCAAAACTAAAAGTACAAGATACACACAAAATAATGCTAAAGGAGCTCTAAAAGTCAGCGATAGAACTCAAACTTGAGAATTATTGAAACGTTCAAGCTGAACAATTCTTCTCTGACCTGGAATTGACAATGGGGCAATGGAAGAGAGTGGAAATAAATGCATCTGACCTGTCTTGGGCGTCCATTTCGAAAGCCTGTGGATAGAGTGTGCTTCACTGGGTCCAGTTACCAAATGGCCCCATGAGAGGGCATGCTCTGCACTTTCATGCAAACTGTAGCATTAACCATTCCAGAAAGCAAACTCATTAATGGGAGATAGCTAGGCTGATCGATCAAAGAGTCGACGACAGGTCAGGCCCAACTCCTGTCAGCAATGAAGAATAATAAATTGTTTGGTTACAAGGCTGGGCCACGACCCAACCACTAGAACGGCCAGCTTAGCTGACTAGTCAATAGTCAGCACCAAACTGTTGGGCCTGCCTTAAGCAGTACTATATGGGCCTGACTCAGTGTCATTCAAATTTCCAATAGCCCAGCACTGTTACGACTTTTCTATCTGGTGCTCGAACAGCCAATATTCTCTCTTCATAACTTTTTATTTTTAAAAAAATATTTTTAATATTAACACATTAAAATTATTTAAGAAACATAAAAAAAATACTTTCCTCTCCAACTTAAAATTACATAATTTTTATTTTTAAAAAATTATTTTTAACATTAATTTTTTTAATAAAATTAAGAAACATAAAAAAATAATTTTAATCAATTAAACATGTTGATATCTGGTCTTCTGAAAATGCAAAAAAAAAAAAAACACTATGGAGGAAGAAAAAGCATGTAAATTAATTTTAATCAATTAATACATTAAAATTATTTTTAATATTACCCCATTAAAACATGTTGATATCTTACTTGAGTGTACAGCACAGTGTCAAATCTTTTTGCATAAAACACACACAAAAAGGAGTTTTCTTTTCCACCATGCTCAGTTTACAGGCTTCTTCTTTCGAAACAGGCACACAAAGCTTTGTACGTGCTCAGTTTACCAGCTTTTTCTTTGTAAACACAAGTCCTCATGCTTCTTTTTGCGGTTTGAATGCAAAAAAAAAATTTAATTTTTTTTTGGTATTTTTAATTGTTAAAATACTAATATCAAAAATAATTTTTTTAATAAAAATTTAAAAAACACAAGATGGCATGAAAATAGCTGATTCCCTCCTGATCCATCTTTTTTTTTTTTTTTTTAATATAGAGCGACAAATTAGTTTTTTTATATACATAATAATAATCGATACCTCGCTCGATCCTCTGGCAATAATTCTGATGATGGCATCTTTCTAGGTACTTAACTTGCCTGGCACTTGACAGTCTAGTTGAAGTAAATGCTGAGCCTATGAAATATGAATAAAAATAATGCTTTGCTATTTTCAAGCATCAAAACCCCGGATGTCAAATCCCATCAAATGATTTTTGGTTTTTTGTCCTCATTGAGAGGTGAAACCTTTTAGTAGAACTGTCATATAACTGAGAGCGCTTGATGGGTTTTGTTGTCTGACAGGAAAGAAGATGGGAAGGGGACCTTGTTGTGATCAAGATGGAGTAAAGAAAGGACCCTGGACTGCTGAAGAAGACTATCTCTTGGTTCAGTACATTCAAAAAAATGGTTTTGTTAGCTGGCATAGCCTCCCTAAGAAAGCAGGTTTTACTTTCGTTTTTGCTTCCCATCTTTTGGTATATTCTGCTTCAAAGTTCAAAATTTATTGAACCTTCTACATTGAAATTTGAAGAAAGGAAAATGTGTAATGGCTTTGGCTTGGATTTCGGAAGGCAAGTGACCTTTGATGCTATATGATTGCAAAGTCCATGTTGTTTATTTCTTATTTCCTGGTTGATTGGAATCTGTGCTTGGTGTTTCTGCTATTTTAACTTATTAAAAAGAGAATTTGAGACCACCCTTTACATGATTTCGGGTTTGCCATCTTTTATAGTGGTTCTTGTTCTTCTTCCTCCTCTTTTCATGCCCAATGTGTTGCTCTCTAATTTTCTAACCCTTGCTGTTTTGCTGAGCACCTGTGTAGTTGTTTAGCTGCATCTACTCGAGAACTTTTAAGTATGTTGACTGGAGAAACACAATTGTACAAAATCCAATAGCTAGCCTTCAACGCAATACAATTTTGATTAATTAAAGTTGAATATTTGAGGAGACACTTCCCCAACTTGGATAAGTTAATATTTGAACCTTAATAAGGTGAAAACTAAATCTAATGGCAATCAAATTCCAGTTGGCTTTGCTGCCAGGAGTTCCTTATTAAACTCTGATTTTGAGTTCCTAGAAGTTCCTGAACTTTGATGTCCTGAAATGTTAATCATGAACAAAATATTATGACCAGGCCTCTTTCGATGTGGGAAAAGCTGTAGGCTTCGGTGGACAAACTATCTTCGCCCTGACATTAAACGGGGTCGCTTCTCTCCTGCAGAAGAGGCCACTATTATTCATCTTCATGGCATCCTCGGTAACAGGTAAGGTGCTGCCTACTCTCATGTTTTCTGTGCATTATCTTTTTTTTGGAATTTGAAGGATGATATGGACATGAATATTTTTGAATTCCTGCTATATTTCTAAAACACTTCTTTCCATTGCTAATATCCGCATGATATTCAACTGAACTTCCATATGGATTTTGTGTCACGGAGAGGAACTTTTGTATCCCATGTCAATTTCTTCATTAGGATGAAGAAATTACTCTTTGCATTGTTGTTGCTTTCTGGCTTATGGTGTTTCTAAAGGAGAACTTTATTGAACAAAAGGTCTCCATATGGGGGATAGGCCAGATTTAGGATGCACAGATTTCTGTTCATTCATCCGGATATTCATGAATTGCTTCAAGATGAGTTACTGATTTATGGATTTTGAATGAATGTTTCAAATGGTTAGAATTTTGCTGTCTTTGCCTATCAGCATGCTTCCATTTTTTTATAGTATCGTATAATTACATAAAGCATGCCACATCTTTTGATCTTTCTACATTTCTATTTTGTACTCCATGCACTACTTCTCAGGTGGGCACACATTGCATCTCAATTACCTGGAAGAACAGATAATGAGATAAAAAACTTCTGGAACTCCCACCTGAAGAAGCGTCTCGCTTCCATTGGTCCGAAGTTGCAGATCAACCAGTCCTCTAATCCTATCAATATCATGTGTGAATCTCCTTACTGCCACATGGTACAGTGGGAGAGTGCTAGGGTTGAGGAGGCTCGCTTGTCAATGCAGTCATTGCTCGTAAAACACACATCAACAGTCAAGGGCCATCCTGATATCTTTATCCAGTTATGGAACTCTGAAGTTGGGGAAGCATTTCGCAATATCAAAGGAAAAGATGTCGAAACATGTGAAAGCCTTGTATCTGACGCGCATCCATGTGTAAATATTGAACCTGTTTTGCTTGACGACACAGCACCAGCAACGCCTAACAAAACAAGTACCTCCATTGACACCACTCAGGAACAAGAAGATACTTGCAAACCAAGTGCAGATGTTATGTCTATTTCAGACTCCATCGGTTCCAATGAATTTGCAGATTCTTCAGATACAGCACTGAAACTACTGCTGGATTTCCCAGGAGGCAATGGTATGGAATTGATAAGAGAAAACTTGCTTGGTTTTAGGTGCGACTGAAACAGCCTCTTGCATTTTGCAAGATATGGTGGCACTCCAGGAAGGAGCTGATGGTGATTTTTTGGGTACCCTCCCTGTTTTGCCTTTTCATTTCCAGTATTTAGGCCATCTAGTTTCCTATTTTGGTTGACAACTCTCTGCTTGAAATCGAAGAAGGTAGAGGCAGCAGAGTTTATAATTGGAATCCAGCAACAGTTTGCTGTGTTTCTAGTTTTCATTCCATGCCTTCTTTGCTAAACTCAAATGGGGTCCAATAGAAAACGTTGCCGGATAGAAGAAACCTTTTTAAGGTCTACAGTTCAAAGGAGTACCAGAGATGTTTTTGTCTGCTCTGTTACAATAGCACCAAGTGATCCTGATAGTCCATAGTTGAGTATGAAGTCGTGAAGGGTGCCTTATGTGTATAGAATACCATATTAGATTAAATACAAGTTTCTTTCTGGTTTTCATCTACGCGTATCTGATCTTTCATTCGTAGCATTTGTTATATGTTTTCAAAGTGATTTTGAAAATTTTAATTTTTTTATTGTTTTTTTAAATTAATATTTTTTTTATGTTTTTAAATTAATTTGTTAATATTAAATATAATTTTTAAAAAATTATTATTTTAATATATTTATAAATAAAAAATAAAAACATTTTAAAAAACAACGGTTGTCCGCTCTAAAAACACTGAATTTTGTGCCCGTCGAAGGGAACACGCTGTGAAGCCTGCAAAGAAGCCTGGATGCATGAGTTTTTATTTGTATAGGACCAGTTGGTGTATTGTTTTTTTTCTTCAGATTATTGAATTACATAATTTTTAGAAAATATTATATTTTTCTCTATCTATTTCTTGAGCCGTAATCACAAGGGTTGGTGGCCTTAATTTTAATTCACGCCATAAACTGCGTCACATATGGTAAAAGTTTATATAAACTGATTTATTGCATAATGTGATGTTTTTTAGAGGCTGCAAATAAAACCTGCAACATGGTATTCCTCTGTCTGGATGAGCTATGAATAACATGGCCCCCTCCTTGTCTGGTCTGAAATTATCAAGAAAACTAGACTTTCTATTCAATTGGCTCCATTTATTGGAGAGAGACAATGCTAGAGAGTTTCATAATCTTTAATGTTCTGAGGGCTGTCTCCTCCATAAACATAGGCACACAGCAGAACCACACATCTTTTGTCTCTCTGAATTGCTCTTGTACTTCAGTTTCCGTTTACTTCATGATTCATATAAGCTTCTTACAAACTCATTAAGTAAATTTTCCAAACAATATCTTGAAATGTGTTCTATACACACGAATACATCAACATGGACGCACAGAATAAATGAACACTTCTCAATTCTCCCCTTTTGAAACAGCATATAAACAAACAAACACTAACAAATAAAGGCTTAAAAATAAACAAATAATACAATTTTCAATCAAACCTGAGAAATTATAGCCTAAAAAAATCCAAGAAGCTTCTTCGGAGAACTTCCAGTGGCACGATATTTCGCAGCCATCTCTTCAGCCTTGAGAAGATCTTCCCCACGTTTAGCTTCGATAATCGCCTTCTTTTCTTCTGCTTCCTTGTGAATCATTGCGATTTTGTTCTTCATTTTCTCCATACATTCTGCCTTTTTTTTCTCAAGTTGTTCCTGCTCATATGCAAGTATAATCAATTATGTCAAACCACAAACTTTACCAACTACAACCATTAAACAGCCTGAATCATTTGGTTGGCGTCCAAAATATGGTTAATTGCTTCATATCAACAGAAATACAACAACTAAATATTCAGGGGACCATATGGATAATCAAGACAAAAGTTTAACAACTCTCTCTTGAAACATAAACTAAGGCTTGTTGCTACCTCAATCTTCATCAACTCAGCCTCCACAGATGCTTTCTTGCTGTTCTCCCATGATGTAATGGAAGAAAGTTTTCTGTGAGCTCTGCACAGTAGATTTACCAAATTCAATAAGGTAGAAAAATCATCATTAAAAAAGAAAAAAGCACTACAAGTACAATAAGAACATCACTGTATCAGAAAATAAAATTTTTAGAGCAGAAGAATATCATCATCATTGTTTTCATTTGAAGTCTGGAGATTTAAGAATCATAGCTCAGTAGTATTTTAAAATCATTCTGAGATATCATAAAGAAAATTAAGAACTTGGCTATGTAGAAATAAGCTGGAAATTACTCGAAAGAAAGAAAAAGACATTTGCTACTAAAGAAAGCTCTTACTTGTTTTCTGCTTTGGACTTCTCACTCTCTTCCCATGCTTTGACAAGTGATATCCTCTTCTCTGTTGCAACCCTTGCAAGAACAGCATCTATACCAAAAAAATAAAAAAGTTGACTGCTTAAACTGCTATAAATTGATCAAAGAACAACCTAAAGATCTAACAATAGGTACCTCTATTGACAGAGCTCTCTTTTTTCTCCTCAGCAGATTCAGAAGCTACTGCCCCAAGAAAAAAAAATCAAATTCAAGGTGACAAATATCAGATAACAAAGCACACAGTTTTTTGTTTTTGTTTTTGATTTTTTAATGTCTTCAAGTTTCTAAAAGATTCTTTTAATCATAGTCTAAGCAGAATAAAAAAGATACTAAAAAAAAGAACACAAACTTAAGGTTACAAAATTACCAAATACCAGAAAATTTAAAATCTATAGTGGATAAAGAGAAGAAGAAAGAAAGGAACATATTACTCTCAATAACGGCAACTGCTTCTGACTCCTCCACCTTCTCTTCAGCAACAGAAGGAGGGGTCACAGTTTTCTCCTCAGCCACCTCTTTTGGAGCCTCAGCTACAGGTTCAGGTTCAGCTGGTGGTGGAGGTGGTGTCTCTGATGGGGTTTCAGTTTCCACCTTCTTTGGCTCCTCCTCTGCCATATCCTTCAACACGAGCTAAAAAGAGAACTATGGAGCGGACAAAAAAACTACAAGAAGATAGCTTTAAAGATAACAGAGGTGGCTAGTAACGGTGAGAGAGAGATACGAGGGAGAGGAATAAGAGGGAGGGCTAGGTGGTTTTGGTTGGGATCTTATAGGTGGAAGAGGGTATCTGTACCTTGAAAACCTGAGCTGGCTGGTAGGTCTACTCTTTGTTTCTTGGCACTTCGCGCGCGCGTTGTCTATGTTATATGCGGTGGCAGAGAGTGACACTGACTCTCCTACTTGAATCTTTTTGTGTGTGCCTTGAAGCAACAACTTGTCCATTCCTGTATTCCTTGTGTTCTTGGTTGGTCAGGATGCTTTCTGAATTTGTATCCATGATTCTAAATTAACTTCCGTTTATGGAGATTTCTTTTTTCTTTTTTGATCTTGTAAACATTCATATATATGGGAGTTAGAAACATAAATTCATATGACTTTAACTCTAGAATTTAGATAATACTTTAAGTTTGAGATTTTTGCTCATGACGTAAGGGGATTTACGTTTTATGTTATTATTTTAGTTCAAATCTTAAAAAGAAAATGATAAGAAAGAAAATTTTAAGCCATTGCTAATCTCGGTGTATATTTGTACACGTAATGAATTAAGAATTTAATATGTATTTTGCAATATGATATAGGTTTTTTTAAAAAATATTTTAATTTTAAAAAATTATAACATTATCATGGGGTGTTTAAGGTTGTTTTTAAAATAATTTTTATTAAGTAATGTATCAAAATAATGTTTTTTTATTTTTTAAAAAATTATTTTTGAAATCAACATATTAAAATAATCTAAAAATAAAAAAAATATTAATTTAAAATAAAAAAATAACCAAATTTAAATTAAAAAATGTTTTTGAAACTCAAAAATAAATAAAAAAATCATAAAAAAACCATATAAAAAATCATCAATTTAATATTTTTAATATAAAAACAAAAACTTGATATTCTTCTTTCTTTTTCATTGGATAATAGTTTAAGTTTGTTATTTTGGCTCATTGGCTCATGACGTGAGGGGATTTACGTTTTATGCTATTATTTTGGTTCGAATCCTAAAAAGAAAATGATAAGAAAGAAAATTTTAATCCATTGCTAATCTTGGTGAATATTTGAACACGCAATAAATTAAGAAATTAATATGTATTTTGTAATATGATATAGGTGTTTTTTAAAAATATTTTAATTTAAAAGAAGAAACTATGATGTTATTATAGCGTGTTTAAGATTATTTTTTAAAATGATTTTTACTCGGTAATGTATTAAAATAATATTTTTTATTTTTTAAAAATTATTTTTGATATCTATGTATTAAAATAATGTAAAAATATAAAAAAATAAAAAATAACCAAATTTAAATTAAAAGATACTTTTGAAATAGAAAAATCATAAAAAACCATATAAAAAAATCATCACTTTAATATTTTTAATATAAAAAAACTTGATATTCTTCTTTCTTTTTCATTGGATAATGAAGAATATTTTGAAAAATATTTTAAAACGTGTCGATGGAGCTCTCTGTTTGGGTTATCTTAAAACGTATTATCTATGACGTCGATTTAAGGATGTTATTTCCAAGAATTGAACAAATAAAAGCAGCAAACCTAATTTACTTCACCTACCCCCACATAAAAAGGTATTCAAGACTTAATATTACATACTCAGCTATAAATTAAGAAAAAAGAAAAAAAATACCCACCTACAATAATTTGGGAAAAAAAATAAAATTACCGTTTAGGCAGAGGTTGGTGATTCAAGAGAAAACGATTGAACACATTGATTCTTTTGGGCAAAAAACATGGCAGCTAGCAAGAGAATTCCATATGAAACGACTAGTCGTTATCGGAAACCCCGAAGCAACCTTGTCTCGGTTATGAAACGGCGCCGCTTCGTAGCCTTCAAGAGATTCAACATGCAAGGTCATGAGAGATTCTTTGTATTTCGTGTTAGCCAAGGAATCCCTGTGGACCAGGTTGTAAAGTGACTAAATTAATAATAACCCAATAAAGAAATTATATAGTTCTTAATCAATCCAATTGAGATCCCATCTGCATTCAATTTTTCTTCCTAAAAATCAATGGCCTTGAAGATAAGATTACAGGGAGAAGGGATTAGATTTAGTTACGAGATCATGAACACGACCGAGTGGAATGCCTAATCCAATCCTTGATCGGATATTGTCGGTTGGACCAGCAATTAAGTGGATTTGTATCAAACTTTGCACGCATTTAAGTAGTGCGTTTTCAAGGCCAAATGACTCGATGATGAGGATATGCTATAAATAGTAAAATAGCTTAAATGAGTATTTCCTTAAGAAGACAAAGATCGATGAAGTCATTGGGGTGCTGTTCAAAAGTCATGTGGAAGCAGGCAAGAAGCAAATATCTATTCTTTCTCGGCTATAATTCTTCCTTGGAAGAAAACGAAATCCTAACCACAGAAAGCACGGGATCAGGTTAATTGCTACGTGGAACTGGAAGTTGTTGGCGGCTTTGGCTGATAGTCAAGGGCTCCATCGATATATACACTATTTAAATTTATATTCTTTAATTAACATAAATGTTCGAATGATATCATAACTAATTTTATAAATCGTAAAGTCAATGAACATATAAATCTTAAATAATTATTATATAAATAATTAAGAATTCGAAACTAATACTAAAAAAAAAATCCTTAATCTTAAATTTTTATCATTTCATCACTATAATATACTATTTCATATTAAATATGTCAACATGTCCAGGCCCTTTTATCTTAATCGCTATATTTTTCAATTATATTTTTTAATTAACATACATGTTCTGACAACTTACAAATATCATAACTAATTTTATAAATTTTAAAATTAACGATCATATAAATCTTAAATAATTATCATATAAATAACTAAAAACTCGAACCTAGAACTAAAAGCAAAAAAACTCCTTAATGTTAACTTTTTATCATTTCATCACTGTCTAAATGGTTAAATATATCATATTAAATATGACATATGGGATGGTCATATTAAATATGTCAACATGTCCAGGCCCTTTTATCTTAATCGTGTCGTCCTACTAGCTAGCTAGTGTTCAACGTCGTGCCACAATCCTCCTCCATGGTTGGGCGATGGGGAGCTCCACACGCTCTCTTTCATGAGCAAACCCTTTCCACTCCCTTAATTCTGTCGCTTTTGTCCAGACAAAAAATATTACCAAATCTTTCAGTACTCTCGGTAAAAAAATATGTTGTCGTGTATACATGTGTATTTACTTTTTGTTTTGATCGGTCGACAAAAGTCTAATCAAGAAATATCTTTAGAAACAAATTTATTTAATATTTATGTTTTTATCTCTGAGACCAAGCCTGGGCGTATTTTTACTTGACGGCAATGGTCTTAGTGTATAATGGAGCGAATGATGAGGCAAGTTCATGTACAGATTGTCATAGCCTGGATTGAATTCATATATTATATATGGTGCAAAGTAGTGTCCAAGCTAGCTAATTGCTTTTCAATTTCTCAAGTATTTGATGGGCGCGGCGGAGCCAGGTGGGACGCTTTCCTCCAGGCTCATCGTCATGTGATATCATGAAGATATTAATTGAGGTATAGAAAGCTTGAGAGTTACTCAATCCAGATCGCTGTCTCTCTTGATTAAGTATTGCGAACAAGTCATCGAATATCAAGATTAGCATACTTATCACCAGCTGTCATGAAAACACCACTCCCTCAAATGACATCAGAAGCAGAGATTGGTGCTGTGCTGATCAATATTAAAATAAAAAGGTTTATAAAGAAGAAGGAAAACGGGGGCCTTCTTTTCCCCCATACAAACAAATCATGATGGCAGCTACCTAGCTATCTCCCTAATTAACTTCTTATCATATTCTTCATTTTTTTAATCAATATTAATATTGATGTTCAGACAATTAAACTATACTCAAAATTATCTCACCATCTTCTTTCTATGTAGAGAAGCTGTAAATGTCGAATATTAAAACTCTCTCATGTATAGAAATGTAGACTAAAACATTAGCATCAACGCGTCACTAGCAAATATTAAACTTGGTTTGCCATCTAATATGAGTTGCGTAACATTAATATTAAATTTATAACCTAATTATTTAAACAATAATCAAAATTGTCTTGCCATCTTCTTGTAGAGAAGCGGTAAGTGTCGAAATGTTTAACTTGGTTTGCCATCTAATATGAGTTGCGAGATGGGACCGTCGATGATCGAGCAAGGCTCCACAGCCATAAACACAGAAGTTGTTT